TTTTCTATTCAGATAAAAGACAAAAAAAGTCACAAGATTAATTTAACCTGTACTGTCTAAAACTATCATTTCTATTTAGAGGAAAGGATGTTTCACCATGTTAGCATTAAATGCAGGCAGAGGCAAAGCTCCTCTAAACTTATTCTTTCTTTGAAGAATATGAAAAAGAGAAAGATGGTGCAGGTTTGTGTGTTAGTATGACCATGTGCATGAGCTTTCAGCAGATGAGAGATTGTCATTGATTATTTTTCCCAATAATCATAGACTCACAGAATAGTTTGGGTTGAGAGAAGCAAAACCTAGTTCCAGCCCCCAGCCATGGGCAGGGACACCTTCCACTGCACCAGGCTGCTCAAAGCTCCATCCAGCCTGGCTTTGAACACATCTGGGATAGGAGCATGCATTCCCAACCCTCTCTCAGTAAGGCCATTCCCCCTTGTTCCATCATTACATGCCCTTGTAAAACCCATCCTGACATTCTTTCCGTAACTTTAGAGATTGTCCCGATGGTACATCAAGGTGTTGGGACATGGCACAATATCCAAGTATAGCTTTTGTGTTTCCCCCTTTAGCTGGGTTCATTCCCATGATACCTATGGATGCTGTAAAATCTCACAACATCCAAGAAGCTCATGCTAGGAAAGTTGCATTGGAGAAGTCATTAAAAGTAAAACAATCCCTTGTGATGATTTATGATGCTTCCTTTTCTACCATTATTCTCTCAATCACATTATTAATCTCTCAGCTGGCATTAGAAATGCTGATAGTTTAGGAATGCCAACCACACCTCCATCAGTAAGACAAGCAATCCAGAGTTTCTGACCAAACTTGAGCAGCCTAAGGCAGCCCAACGCCAACCTTCCTCCATGAGGTGGGGAACTTGGACTGGCACATCTTGCATGAGTTATGTATGTTTGGGGTAGTCGCATTACTGGCCTTCAGTTATCTGTTTCATGTGTTACTGTTTTAGTGACACTGGACAATACATAAGTGTAATCTGTTACACTCATGAGTTTTCATCAGTTCATTTGCACAAAATTTTGTGTTATCTCAGGGGTTTAGTGAGTGGTACTAGGTGAAATGCCTGAAGTGAAAGAACTAGTTGTTTGAAATTTTGCTTGAAATTAAGTGTTCAAAACTACCAATGCAAAAGCTGCTGAGATGATTTGAAATCTCAGATTAGAGTTAATGAGGGAGATTGTTATCTGCAAGGATTAAAATCTGAGACATATTTCTAAAGGGTGAATAAAATCATCATCATGGCTGAAGAGAGGCTTAACATTTTGGGAGATCATACATAAGATATTAGCTTAGGATAAAAATAAACAAAGGGGTAAATGTACATTAGAAACCTCTGTCTTTTAGTAAGTCATTATAGAAAAGTTGGAATTATACTGCCCATTACTCAATCTCACATCTGAATTTTTTCTGGTGCTTTACAGAAAGATTCAGAGTGAAAACTGAGAGCCCATTAAATTAAATGAAATATCTCGGATTAATTCTACCTGTTTTCCTATTTTTGCCTCTAAAAGATAAAGAGGAAAATAGTAATAGAAATCTGGGAAAGCCTTGCCAAAATACAGAAATATCACAGAGACTTTAGCTACATTCAATTCCAATATAAAAGGAAATTCAGAATAATATTTTTCTCTCTTGCTTTAAAAAGGGCAAATGCCATCTGAAGCATATTGTATAAAGTATGGCACAGAGAAAAATCATAATATATTTAACTTTTCTTTTTTTCCAGGGTATGTTTAGGTAAGAAAATCAAGCAGTTTTAACCTACTCAAAAGTGACTTTCAACAATTGCAAACTTTTCTTAGGACTCTGATTTCATTCCAAGAAAGGTTTATTTTGATTTATCTTACACATTTTCCTAACAAGTTAAACTACACTGAAATAATGTGCCTGCCTGTCTTCCCTACCTCTTAGGGAAACACAGCCACAAGGGCAATGGACACATTCTTACCTTCCCTATTTCCAGCTGAGGACTTAGGGACAGAGTCTTGGTGGGAGTTGAGGATGTGAAGAGTGAAGAAGATGAGAGAGCAAAGTGTGAAAAAAACCACCACCAGCCTAGGAGGATTCTCTTCCCTTCAGCTGTTTTTCAAACGGGTTTCTGTGCATTTCCTGCTCCTCTTTTTCCTCCATCTTTCTTCCCTTTAGGGAGAACCTCATCCTTGCCCTCCAGATAGAAGAGCATACACAAGTAGATAACTCCTTTGGACAAATGCTTTTTAAAAAAGGAAAAGACAACTGTGCTACTGTTGGCTTCTTTGTCTCTCATGTTCAGAGGGGACCAGAGACCCTCACTGGGGCCGAGAGCTCCCAGCAGGGCAGGGCAGAGGCTGTGCTCTGCTGGCAAGATTGAATTAATTTGAATCTTTTGCAGTGGGAGGCCTTCACAGAACTCTGTGTTATAAAAAAAAAAACCTGTCAGAGCTCTGGAATAAGTAAGAATAAGGGCAGGAGCAAGTCACTGAATTTTTTAAAACATTGTCCTATTAGAAGTGGTGGAGGGTGACCAAAACCCCCAGTAAGCATTTTAATAATTTCTGGATCAAATGCATAATTCCCAATATTTTGGGTGACCTAATTCTTTTTAAAGTTCTAAGAATGATTTTTAGGGGCATACACTGCTCTTCTAATGATCTCTAACTTGCTGCTAGCCACTCACCACTAAATAAAAATGGCTGTTCCATTGCTGCCCCTCTCAGAGTCACTGGGACAAGTCAAGATCACCCTGCCACTGTGTCAGTCACCAGGGACACTGTTTTTTCAGCACAGTCCATATCGCTCAAGACATTCCAGCACCTTCTATGTTAGTCTTGGATCCCAATAAACACAACTAAATATAGAAAGAAGTTTGCTTTAGGTGGGTACATGTGTGCTACGTGTCTATGCTGGCAGTATAGTCAATCAGGATCTAGGGTTCAGTTCAGGAGGGTACACAGTGGTGCCTGTCCCCTGTTACACGATATTCCCTGCTCCCCAGGCACTTCTCCTGAAGAGTATAGCTTTTCCAGGTCCAAGAACATAGCTGCCAGATCTAGGGGATATCTCAGATACCTTAAGGCATCTCAAATGGCACTGGACAAATAAATTTGGGCAGCTGAATTAAGCCTTCCTTGTGCCAAGCCTGAAGTGTGAGGCAGCTGAGCAGCCAGCAGAAGCCTTCCTGAGGATTAGCTGCCCCTCTCTCAGCTGACGTGGTTACCTTGTGCTGCTTGGGGAGTTTAGACACCTGCTTCACATGTAGACACCTAAATTTAAATATCTTCATATGGAGCTCAAATCCAAGTCAATCCAAGTCCATCTATTTTTCTGATCGCCTTTAGAATTTGTGATGTCCTTAACCTTTCCTAGTCAGTTTTCCTATTTCTCAATTCTCACACAGACCTCCTGCATCTGGTTGTTTTGAGCTTGAGATTTGTACTGTGCAAAGATGCCATGTCCACTTCTGGCTCTTCTTAATCTCTGAACTTGCTGGATTCAGAATCAAATCCAGCATTTTTGGTACCAAATTATGTAGTAGCCACCTACGATCCACCGATGTAGTAGCCAAAGACATTTTAAAATGTCAGAGCATAAAACAGGCAGAAGGTCAGCCTAGGCCAACATGGGATGTCAAACAGTGACACCAGCCAACAGTGAACAGCCAGGGAGGATTGCACAAGCAGGGCAAACACTCAGTGATATTTCTCTACAAGAGTTTCTCAGCCCCCAACATCTGCTACTTGAAGACATCCTGAGCCAGAAGTGGGCTTTTGGTATTAATTAGCCCAGGATTAAATCTTCTCCCCTAAGACCATCCAGCTGGTTTTAAACCTTCTATCCCTTTGTGTCAAAAGTTCCACAATTTATCAGGACTATCCACAGAAACAGATTATCTGTACCCTTGGCTTTGTATTTAATCACTTTCTGGATCATTCTTGTAGGAGCTATGCTAGGGACAAGATGTGTGTTTCTACCCAACACAAAAGAAGTAAAACTTGTATCAACAAGAACCTGCTTTCAATTATTCACCAACAAACACGGATTTAGATTATCCTTGCATAGAAACATACAAACACCACAAAATCCTAAGATTAAAATCAGGTATTTCTTAGAAGGGCTCTTTAAGCTTTTAAAGTTTGCCAGGGAATTAATCATGAGGTGAGGAAGAACAGAGCTTGTTCTGTGCTTTTCTAATCCATGCATAGCAGCATGTCTACCCCAATCCTTGTAAAAGGACATTATGCCTTCTCACAGCATCTGTGTGCCATCACTCTGCTGCTTCTCCTCCTCTCCTCTTAAATGCTGTTCTGGCTCTAAGGACAGCTGGCTGATTAGTTCGTGCACACCAAAGTCACTCTCACTGTTTGAATCTGTGACCTGAAGAAATAAATCCTAACACTTGCTGACCTTCAACTAACTTTCCAGGCTTCCAGCTAAAGGAATGCTTCTGAGTACCCAGTGCTGTATTTCCTCTCTTCCAGGAAATGGTACATCAGGGCAGCTGCGTCCAGAAACTACATTCTCAAATACACAGTGTCTGTTTTCATAGGAAATTAGTACTGTGCTTTTAAGCCCAATTCTACCAGACTCTCACCTCTGGGCCTGCCCTAGTTTTTTTTACCTTAGTTTTCTTTTTTCCTTTGAACAGAGAAGTTGTTATGTAAAGATAGATAAAGGGGAAAAGTTCTAATCCATCTACTGATTTGTACAGTTTGCTACATCAGGTTTCAAAGCTCCTACATAAGGTTTCTTCAAGACTGCTCCTTTTATCTGTATGCTTTGGAAATTGTAACCCTCACTTTTCACCCTGGAGACTCCGGAGGTAGCATTTGAAACCAGCTCTGATCTCACATCCCTGTCTCAAACAGGAATCCCTGTGTTTTGGATTCCCACCCACTATAGGAGTGGGAATCTCTTTTGTCCTTCTCATTCAGCTCATGTAGATGTGTGTACTTTTTACTGACACTTGGACATTAATGCTTTCTGTAATGTATTTCTTTCAGACATCATTGTTCTCATCGCTTCAATAGCAGTTGTTTCTGCAAAAACTCAAGGTAACATTTTTGCAACATCAGCACTGAGAAGTCTTCGTTTCCTACAGATCCTTCGCATGGTGCGCATGGACCGAAGAGGAGGCACTTGGAAATTGTTAGGTTCTGTAGTTTATGCACATAGCAAGGTATGTAATCCTAGATACTAATTGTGTCTGGTTGATAGCTTCACTTGATGTGATTCAACAAGAGACCAAGGAAATAAGCACTCATCAGTTTTGAGCAGAATATCCCAAATTTTCTGAAGTAACATAAATTGTAATATGAACTAACACCAATACACCAGGCCATGTTTAATGCTAACAGTTTTTAGAGATCTTGAAAATGCTTTTCCTTGATGGGCAGCTGTAATTTGTAATATGCTGGGGATGTTGCTGAAGCAAACCATAAGAGTAGATCTTGTCCACTTTCAGAGAAAATTTGTATCCAAGGGAAGCACTTGACTCATAACTGCACAGATGCCAAAAAAGCATTTATATAGATATTTTCATGATGTCTTCTTGAAATGTCAATCCATAAAATGGAAATTGATCTCTGTTCTTTTTTATCTAGGAATTAATCACAGCCTGGTACATAGGATTTTTAGTACTCATCTTTTCATCTTTCCTGGTTTATTTGGTGGAAAAAGATGCAAATACCGAATTCTCCACATATGCAGATGCTCTCTGGTGGGGCACGGTAAGTACTGAAAAATAACGTGGACTCTCTAACCACTATGCTAAAGTGCTTTGAATTTCACCTACTGAGGATTTTAACTTAGTGTGCTGTTCAGTGAATTGTTTTCACTGACAAAAAATGGTCTGAGAAACTTCCTCCTTCAGCTATTCATTTGCACATGGACAGATTATTTCAGTCCATCCAGCAGAACAGCTGTTTATGTGTTTCTGCTGCAAACCAGACCACTAAACCTTCAAGACAAGAAAGCATTGTACTTTTTAACCCTTAGCCTTTCAGTAATATCGTTTGTAATATGGCCCCACAAAGAGCTGTCTTGATACAAACCAGAGGGCTCTAAATGGCAGTGCAGGAAGAGGAAAAAGTGTCAGGAAAAAAGAGGGGAAAAATCTTACATCAGCTTTGGCAAGAGAGTATCATCAGTGCCCTTTAAAACATGTTGTTTCTTCTTCCTCTGTACCTTGAGGACAAAGACCAAGAATAAGTATGTCAATTCTGGTTCAGCAGTGTTATGTTTTGCAGGTATACTTGAGATCATGGTTAACTATCAAATCAATTGTTTTTACTTTGTTGAAATCTGTGGGATCTAAGTACATGCCTGACTGCTTTTCTGAAGGAGGATTATATGAATATTGTTAAAGAAACCAGGCTTTCAATGAACAAAAAAAGGCCTAAGTTTTAAGTTTTGATTTCTTTTTTTTTTAATGGCATAATGTGTAGGGGTTTTTTGCTTAAAAATGTCCTATAGTGATCCAGACTTCTCCACTGTGTGAGAGTTACTTAAGCAGTTTAAGAAATCTGCCCCAACAAAGCCTGAGGCAGTTATTGTCAGACAGTATTAAACTGCTTTTCTTTTCCTTCTGATGCCGTAGAACACACAGAGTGTGCTCTGGCAATGTCTGGGTAGTGAAATGATACCTGGGAGATCATTAATGCTGACAATAACATAGAGCAATCATTAGTTTCCTTGGAATAAGTGTGAAACCAGAGCTAGCCTCTGCCACCTTTCCATATCAGAGGGATACCAAAATGAAGCTTTGTCACCTCAGACCTTTTGCTGACAGGATTCCATCTAGATTTAGTAGTATGCAGGCTCAGAGCATGCACACAGGCACTGCACAAAAGCCCTTTCCAGAATGTCTTAAATTATTGAAAATATTTGTAAGAAGTTTTGTCTGCATTTTGAGCTAAGGTCAAGGTCACTCACTATTTTTAGGGGTAGTTAGTGTATTTGAAATTTGTTCATCTAAGGGCTAGTCATTTGTTGCATGTCTTCCCTAGAGACTGTATTTCTATGTTATCACTGCACAAAATTGGGAGCTTGGAAAAGCCAGACCTACTAAATATTATGTGTACATTTACAAACATTCAGAAATATATTTTGCTGGAACTTGTTGCTTTAGAGCAAGCAAGGCAGATCACTGATAAAATATACATTTTATCCTGTAGTACAAACACACACAGAATTCATCCTGACTGAAGTGATGACACAAGGTTTTGCATTCAGTTGCATCTCTGTAGTTTATTTTGTTTGCCATTTCTTCAAAAGCTGAGTTCTGAGTTTGCCTTAAGGCTTTCTAACCTTCCTGTATGGATAAGGTTGTGAAGCATCTGGCATTGGATGCTGATGTCCTCACTGATGGGTACCCCAGCTCTGGCAGTCTGAAAACACCCTTGCCCCTTTAGGGTGGCAGTGGGGATGTGCTCCTGCAAGAGACCCTCCTGTGGCTGTGCATGTTCTTGGGAATGCATCTTTTCAGACATTTGATTCCCCAGGAAAAAGCCTCTACCTCTCTGCAAGGAAGGCCCTGTGTGCCTTAGCCCTGCACAGGCAGGGAGAGGGGCTGGGCAGAGGATTGTACCCACCTGCCAGCTGGAATGGGGAAATGTGTGCACAAGGAATGAGAAAGTCCCAGCAAACTCAGAGCTCCACTGGCATCTGACTGAGGCTCGTGTTAGATCCAGATCCTTCTCCGTGAGCAGCTCTAGCAGCAGGAACAAGGCCTTTATTTTAGAATTTGCTTCTCCACTACCTGCTGACTGCAATTTTTTAAGGAAAAACCCTGCTAGGAAATAATCATTGTATAAAGTGGTGCTTAAAATATTTTGTACACTATTAAGTGAAAGTGCATGACTCAGAGGTTGCATAAGTAGTGCAACTGAGAAAATCAGGAATCTTGCCTAGATTTCAGCAGGAAAAACAACAAAGTTTATTTTAAAACCTGAAAACAATATAACTTGTATTTTTCTATATATTTTCCTTTCCACAGTTTCCAATTAATACATTTAAGTTATTAATGCACTTAAGCAAGTGCCCAAACTTACTGGAAATCACTGTTCCCCCTTACCTGATGTCTTTGCCATTTTAATAATAGTAATTTTTTTCACAATATGTAAAACAGTATGTGGGAAATGCATAATGTGCTTCTTAGTCATGGTTGTTTTTACTGCCAGAGTAACCCACATGCAGAGATTTGAAAAGGACAGACTGTATGGCATTTTAGGGGAAATCAAGGCTTAGTCTCATTGATTTGTTTATTTGCAAAAGTTGTTCTGACTTAAACCACAGATTATGTACCAAACTCTGGACTAAATTTTGTCATGGCAGAGGGACGAGAAAGAAAAGGCTGCATCAAAGTCAGGTACAAAAAGTTACCCTAAATTTCAATCTTTTAGAGGCACTTATTCTTCTCCTTACAGTAGCAGCACTAGCATGCTGCAATTAACCCATTCATTAATTCACGTTACTTGAGGACCATACACTGCTATGGTTATTTCACTGGTTCAATTTCTGAAGTCCATATTTATATACAGAAATGAAAGGCAGGATATGGCATCCAAATTTACATATGAATACTCCACTGTATTTGCAATTTGATGCTGTACTGTGCAACCTGCTACTGAATCATCATGTTAATGTTACTACTGTGAATATTCTTGTGGTTGGGGTCTCCACAGTGCTGCCTAGCACAGCAGTACACAATGGTGTGTGTTATATGAAGAGCTCAAGTTCAGAATTTGCTTTGGTAGAGAAGATAAATTCATTTTACAGAATAAAATAATAAAGCCATATGGGAACAAAAAGTCAGTTAAAAAACCTATCTACTTCAAAACCAAACCATACATGGTTTTCTGAGATATACTGATGTTAACTAGAACTGTTAACAAACTAAATGTCACTTACAGTGACATTTAGTTTGTACATTAATTAGCTTTAGCTGCAAATGTAATGCAGCTGAAGTTTCTGTCCTTCTTACACATTTGACAGAATTTCTCTTAAAAAGTCTTTATTTTCTAGTAATACCCAATAGTTACAGTTGAATGCAGAATGGCTCTGGCATTCCACAGTGTCCCCTAAGTGAACAAAACATATTACAATGAATTACATTGGCACAATGACTAGCTCAAGTGAGTTAACATTGATGAAATTTTTCCCATTTAGTGTAATGATAGCATGAGCAAACTATATTTTTTTCATTTAAGTGATGTCAGGTAACAATTCAAAAGGTGAGTACTGCTAGGAGAACATAAAATGACATCAGAAAGAAATATTAGGGTAGAGAATGGCCTCCTGAGTCCTATCTCATCTAATTGAAGTGATCTAAGTTATATCATCACATTCATTATTATATTACCTCATTTGTATTAGCATATTTATTAGCTCCAGCAATGAGATAACAGATGTTCTATCATCTTTGTAAGTTATGAGCCTGGCCAGATGACACTGCCTACTTTGACTAGTCTGTCCAGACCTCTCGTTTATAGAAGTAACCAAAATGGAATGGTTTGCATCTGGTGTAAAAGACAGGACTCAGCTAGCCCGTTTAGCCATGCAGGAGTAGGATTCAGCTGCTTAGACAAAGGCATACAGTACCATCAGAGATCTGTTGGACAGTCTGCTGCCTCTCTTGTGGGTGGTCCCTGTTCAGATGCCCTAGTACAACTCTGGTGGCACTAGTTGTTGTTTTTTTTTCAGACAAGCCCAAGTAGTTCATTTTAGGATACAATAAGTTACCTTTGCACTTGGCCACTTCTCTTACCCACACAATGCTAGCTGTAACTTCTGTCTGCTTCTTGCATAATTATCAGTGATTCTGGAAATTTCTTATGTTGTTGTGTTTTCACATCCAGTAGTTTTCCACACCCTGCTCAGTTAATTTAATCTCAGGATTATGCCAGTCAAGGCCTGGCCAATGGTTCACCAGCAGCACTTACAGTGGCAGTGGATTATTCCCAAACTCAACTTTGAAGTTTTCCAGAAAACATTTTCTTAGTCGTGTGGTGGGAGTAATATAAAATGAAGATCAAGCCCCTTTGCTCAGTGTTGAGTAAGACAGTACAACATGGTGCTGACACCTATACAGCCCTGTAAAGACCATCCTGAGATAAAATAGCTCAAATAAAGCAAGAAGCCACTGATATTCTTAATCACAGGCTGATACTTTAAGTCCTTAATACCTAGAAGAATTGAGGGAAAGGCTTTAATAGGGTCTCGTTATTTTCTTTGGAGAAATTTCAGAGATAGACTCTGTGTGACTGCTCCTGGTTTTGGATTGCTCTCAGATGTCAGGTCCCAAAGGTTCAAGTTTATCTCTGACTTCTTTGGAATACAGTTCAGTGGCAATATCATTAATATGCAGATGACGCTTGGTTCTGTTTCCCTCTCATCAGCCCAGACAGGAGATATCTCTGTACTTTCCAGCGACTGGCAGAGATAGGGAGCTGGATGGAAGCCAAGAAAGCGGACTCATTCCAGAGCTCCAAACTGCTTTTCAATAACTGGCCTGGAAACAAATTTTGAGGAACTTTTTATTCAGGGATTCATTTGTTCAAGTGTTTCATTCCTCTTGGGCCTCAAACTGTTCTGCAGTTGCCCTCTGATGTGAAGAGCTGTGATTGTCTTCTTCCACAAACAGATCAATCCCCTCTGCCAGGCCAAGACCATGGCTGCACCAGCTCATCTCTGAGATGAGAGAGTTGCATTCTCATGTTCCTTCCTCCTTCTTACTCCACCTCAGTCTCTCGCTGCCTTGTGCAGGCTCTGGAGCCTGTTAGGCACATCTGTGAGCTGACACAACAGACCAAAGCAGCAGAAACAAACCACGCAGAAATGTGGATAATTTTCTGTCCCTTCCTGGGTGGCTTTGGTTTGCCTGAGTCCAGAAAAGGCTCAGAAGAGAAGATGGGGCAGGGAGGTGAAGAGGAGCAAGGAAGAGTGAGACCTGATAGCCATGCAAGGTGGTGTGTCTGTGACCAGGCTAGTGTTACAAAACTTGAGACTTGATAACCACTTGAAATTTCAGCTGCAGCCAGAATTCATCTCTCTCTCTTAGTCCCTGTGGCTTTCTCAGGGTAAATTACACCCGCAGCTTGTTCCCAACAATGGGAGCAATTAAAAGCACTGTTTACTATCTACAGAGTCCTAAATAGTTGAAATCTAATTACTTCCAAAAGACTTTCCTTCTTTTGTCCCGTGGTGACCCTGACATTAAATAGAATTGTTTTGGCCGTCTTGCCTAGGAACGGACTTTGAGGAAGCTGGAAGCAAAATAATGTCTCTAGAAGGCAATTTCCTGAAGAATCTGTTGCTGCCAGAATATTTGCTGAGCCTGAACTTGCCCACATTTGGTACACGATGTAAAATAATTCTCCATGCACATGTTCTCCCTAATAGCAGGCCCCGGAGTCCCTGGCACTCGGCCTGCTGTTGTCTATCTTTGTCCTTTAGCATCGTGTGCCGCTGCCGGAGCACGTGCCCCGCAGCCTGCCGGCCGGCCCTCAGGAATCCTGGCTCTGCCCAGCCCTCTCCAGCTGCCCACACCGGGCAGCTGCGTGGGCCTGACCTCTGTGAAAGCACACAGACACAGCTCTTCTGCCAGTCCAGCCCCCAGACATGGCATTGGTGTGCTTCCTGGGCAACAAGCAGCCTGGAGGGCAATTCCTCGGCTCAGGGAAAGCCCTCAGACTCATCTTTTGCCTTCAAGATGTGTTCAGTGAGCCCCAACCATGCACCATTATCTCAGTGGCCACATTGCCCATGGTCAGTGAGCCCTCCCAGCTGCACTAAAGCTTGCCTCCCCTTTCTCTTTGGCCTGTCCACAGGCAGCTCTGAGCTAACGTGGTCCAACAGCCCGAGGCACCTCTGCCTCTGCTGCAGCATAGGAACCTTTGCACCTTCATGTGAGGAGTGACGTAGGTGTATCTCAGCCTGCCAGGGGGAAGGGGAAAGGACCAGAAACTTTACTTAAAGTCCCTCCCAGCTTTTCTTTAGTGTTTTTTGTGTTTCAGAAGATAATTTACTTCAAATCATACTGATGGTTTTACAGAAAATGCAGCTGCTTCTTGCAATTCCTTTGACTTTATATCATCTGCAAGCATCAACTTCTTCCCTCCTATATTTTTCCAGTATTATCTCAATGTAATTTATATTTCTTTAGCTAGACAAATACATATAGTTATATTCTCCGGCAGAAAACAGGTGAAACACCTTCACATCTATAGAAAAAACCACTTTTTTTCTTCCTAACTTATATAATTTCCTACCATTTGCCTCAAATTTGAGATCAATGTAATTTTTCATTATTTTTAAACTTATTGCTTATTTAGATGTTTTTCTCACATTTCCTATTTATCTCAGTTTTATTTAGTCATAAACAGTATTACATTTTCACAGAAAATAGTCAGTTAGTATATTTATGTTCATTTTTTTTAGAAACGGCTATATGTTTCAGATGTCTTGCATTAATTAGTGGAAATGCTGCTTCATGCAATGTAAATAATCTGCAACTAATCTGTCAGTGAGTTCTGGTAAACCATGTTGTTCATTTCTTTTTAGATCACATTAACAACCATTGGCTATGGAGACAAAACTCCTCTTACTTGGCTTGGAAGGTTGCTTTCTGCAGGATTTGCTCTACTTGGCATCTCCTTCTTTGCACTACCTGCTGTGAGTATGCCTATAAAATTAATAAAAAATAATAGAAATTCCTGTAGGTCCTGCCACTGTTATGATACAAAAAGCTCAAGGAAGCTGTCCACATGAAGAACAACTCTTTAAGGCTTTTTGCTCTGCAACAACACTAGTGAAGTGCGATCCAAAATCTAAAGAAAAGGTTTGCTGTCCTTGGTTTAGTTTTGGGAAGTTTCTCTGGCATGGACAAAACTGGGAAATAACCCTAAATTAGGTTACATACTATTTTGTAAAGTTGAAAATCCTTCCTTTTGTTATGAATTGTGACAAATATTACTGCTTTTCTTTCAAATTTTTCAAAACAAAACAAAAATAAAAGCACATTATATGTTTTTCTAACTTAGATTATAGTGAAAAAATAGATATTTCTAATAGCATGTTTTGTACAGCCATACAATCTGCCAACAGAGAGTAGTAGAAGGCCTTAAATCAACTAATGGTTAATGTTGTTGAATGCAAAAGATGCAACTATGATTTTCTGTGAATAACTAAATAAACATTGCAGCTTATTTATGTTTTTTCTATCAATGTTCAAGAGACCAATGGAATTGGAAATTATCTAATGACTAAAATATAGTGTAGCTTCAGAAATAAATTCTCAAGGTTTTGAGTGAATCTCCTTTTTTTAATTAGTTTTGAATAAGCATTAAATGAGAAGTGCTATTTGTAATTTTTGTACTGTTTCCAGTGCAATGTATTTTGGTATTTTAATACTCAAATGCTTTATCTGTAAATCATTATAAAACATGGATATTATAATACTTCATTTGTTTTCAACTATATAGATAAACCAAGATTAAAAATATTAATTTGTCAACAGCATTAAATCATCTGGTGCACTGCATTTATTTCTTACTCTAGCTACAATGAGTATTTCAGTATCTTTGACATATTATAATGCATTATAATTATAACCCATTACCTGTTTGTGAATCCTTGACATTTATTGACATCTACTGTAATTAATTCCTTTTGTCACCTAGTCACCACTAACAAGAAAGCTAGTCTTAGCAGCACTACAATGAAAAGATGAATACCCTTACATATTAGAGATGCCACAACTTTTGTTCCTCATGTCATATCTATGTACAGATACTAGTTTTCCTCATAAATACTTCAGTGCTGAATCTGTCTGTAAAAGAAGAGGTATGTGGGAAACTTTTGCACTTCTTATAGTATTTTATCCTGACTAAGAATCAAGTGGAAATATTCTTCCTTATAATGCAGACATGTCCAGCAAAATTATTACATTCCTTGCAAGTCAAGAAGGAAAACATCCTCAGTTTTTGGATCTATTCAGTTAGAATCAGATTTATCTTACTCAAAGGTAAAAGGCTAAAAGAAGAGAAGTTTCATGATTAGCTTTTTCATAGCCTCTAGAATGAACAATGGGTATTATTTAATGGGAAAGATCAAGAAGAAATGCATTTTCTAACTTTTCTAAAATCAAAAGTCTAAGTTCTGCAGATGTGAGCTTTGATGTCCATGTATATCTGGCATACCTGTCAGCTGGTCATTTCCTCATTCCTGACTCAAGTTCCTCTGAATATTCGTGCTTGATTTTATAAATATATATCTATCTCTATGGCCTTGGTAGTTGCAGGAACAGTGTAGCACAAAACCAGGCAATGGGTGGTCATTGGTAGCACCACAGATGTTATCCTGCTTCACCAGGAAAAGGGGAACTGCTTCTGTGCCTTCTACTATCATACACTGGTCAAAAATGTGTTATCTGAAGCAACTATATGGTGTAACATCTTCACAAAGTCTTCATAATTGATGATGTATGTTTGTTCAAAGACTACCTACACATTGATAAAATGATATTGCAGGGCATCCTTGGCTCAGGATTTGCATTGAAAGTGCAGGAACAGCATCGTCAGAAACACTTTGAGAAAAGAAGGAATCCAGCTGCAAGTCTAATTCAGGTAAATATGAAATCACCAAAAAGATAATCACAGGTGATTTAAAGTGCATATTAGAACAAGTCTTATTTCCATTTGGAAAGTTTTGTGGAAATAATATTTAACAGATTGGTTAGTTTCATGAAATAACTGTGTTCAGTGACTGCTATGTGTTGCCATAATTCTGTACAGAATCACAGATTCATTTAGGTTGGAAAAGACCTTTAAGATCATCAAGACAAACTCTAACAAGACACAAACTATAACAGCATTTCTGTGTGTAGTTTTTGTTCCTCTATCCATGTTAATGAGAGAGGCAAGGATGCCAAATGCAGGCCTGCAGTCAGAAAGCTGTTTGGAAAAAGAGAACTGATCCCTTGATAACCCAACTGACAGCACAGTGCTCTTGCCTATATTAAACTACTTTTCATCTACTACAGGGTTTAGAGTATTTCAGTGAGTGATGTACTTGGTGAAGATGAAACGTGTCCTGCCCAAAGAATTGCTTTCACTATGAGTCAATTCAAAAGCTAGAAATGTAGGCACAAACAATTTTTAAATGTCTGAAATTTTCTGAAATTGTTCTGATGTGATGGTGCAAATCAACAAAAAGTTGAGGAAAAAGCCAATGCAATGTTTTGCATTGGCTTTTTCCTTAACTTTCAGTCCTAGTTATAACTGAGAAAATACTCCAAAGAATCATTTTGCACCAAACTTTACTCTACTTGATGCACTGAAAAAAGAGGGGAAATAATCTCCTAGAGTCCTAGTTTATTTTCCTGGGATGCCAAGTATTCTATGTGTGCCATGTATGCTGGGTTTTATTTTTGAAATAGTAAATCCAAATAAAGAAGCTGAGTATGAATATGCTAGAGTTCTGTACTAAGTAGTGATAGACTGTCTTTGAAGCATTCTTAAAGTTAATAAATGTTTTCAATTATTACTGTTCAATTATTATTAAATTCTAAATATTTTAAAGTTAATATTTTTTAGAATAATTGACAGAAATAATTCCACTTCTTTTGTGTCTAGTTTAGAATGACTGTCTTGCATATTTTCTAACACATATATTCTGATCTACTTCTTCCAAGTTTGGTTGCCAGAGGAAAAACATAATACATTTAGGTTTGGGATATAGCTCTTATTATTATTTTATGACAGTTCAACCAAAATATTAGTAATACAGCATGGTAAATAGATTAAGAGTAGCTAGCTGCCTGATTTTGGAGATTGACTCTCAGTAAGTAAAATCATTGTGAAAGGAAGACATTTGTTGTGGGATCCCATGATGAAGGCTGTTCAGCATTTACAGGTTCAACATTTTCAGTGATCCAGAAGTTAATATAAAATTGCTGGTAGGGATATTTTCTGAAGGCACAAGGGCTGGCAGCATAGGAAATATGAGAACATGCACACAGGAATAAAACCAAGGATGATCTGAGTGACTTTTAGTGTGAAAGGATCACTGCCAAATCTTTTAATACAAAAATACAAAACTTGATCTGGAAACTGAATCCAGATAATTATAAGATGTCTCTATCCCAGCATTAATGAATCAGGAAAGGATTTGATCAAGCATGAGAAATACAGAGGAGAAAGACTGGGAAAGAAGGGTCAAGAGCTTGATACAAGTTCCCAGTATGTTACTACACCTGGTTTTATTAAAGTCCTTAGATACAGAACCAGTAACATAATGAGAAGACTGATCCTACCACTGTGTATGATGATGCTCATACTAATATGCTACATATCAACTCAGCATCTACAGTCTGTAAGTGAAACTGAAATATTGGAGAAAGCAAATAAAACATTGGAAAAATGGGTCAAGGACTGGAGAAAATTTCATGTTCATAAATGCAGGATGCGTCTGAACTGCATATCATTGGGTCCTGTAACAGTGCCCAGGTGGTTTTTTAATTGTCTTTAGCTTATCAGGGCAACGTCTATTTTCTAACCAGTTACACTGTGCTAACTCATCTGTTGCCACAGATAGACACTTTGATAGAGCCTTTACCTCTAGATAGCTGTAGAAAAGTGAAATATTTGGTCTGGATATACTTTTCTCAATTTCTTTAGCTCATAAGAAATATTTATTGTGAGAATTATTTGAACACAGAAGCTCAGAGAGGAAGTCTTGAAACCTACTGGACCATTTAATGTAGTAGACAGAAACATAACAAGTAACTCTGGCTATAAGCCAAAACCAAAGAGTTTCAAATTAAAAATAATGCAGAAATTTTTGACAATGAGAATGATCAACCAATGAAGCAATTTTCAAAGTGAGTAACAGGTTCTCCATCTGTTAATGAAGACTGGATGTGTTTCTGGGAAATACACAGTAGGAAAACACAGGGTATTAGATTCCATACAAGAATACCTAGATGACATTTAATGGTTGACAATATACAGGAAGCACAGATGCTCAGCTAGTACAAATTAATATAGTTATGCTGACATCAGGGAACATGTCCCAGCTTGTAGAACCAAGGCTCATCTTACTATCTACATGTGTTATAAATCTAAACAATGGACACATTTTCAGTGCTGTGCTTTGGTTACTCACTTTTGCTAAATGTTTAAAAACACAAAATTAATAATTTCAGTGTTTCAAACCATAGAGAATGCTTCTCTTTACTTCTAAGTTCTTTTTGTCTGGTTTTCGTTATGATTTGCCGAATGTATTATGACATTTTCTTTCGTCAGACTGCAAGTTTGTGTGGGTGTCCCCTATAGACTTGTCATAAATAAATCACTGCAATGCTTTTCTGAGCACCTTTATGTGCTGAGTATCTTCTGGTGCTTTCATAGAGCCAGTAAGTCTTATCTTACTGCATGAGGTGTACTGGGATTCACAAAAGTTTCGGCAGGTTTGTGATGGTATTTCCTGAATCAGCCTAACCAAGCACATTCTGGTCTGAGCAAAATCCCCTCGCTCTGTGGTCAATGTGGTGGCATTGTCACTTCATGTTCTTGGTTCCTTTGTGCTTTTCTATTGTTTCCCCATACCAGGCTTCCTGGCGGTTTTATTCTACCGACGCCAGCCGAACAAACATGGCAGCCACCTGGCGATATTATGAAAGTATTCTTCCTCCCCTCAGGCATGTATCAGTGCTATGAATGATAAGAGAAAGATACAACTTGTATCGGTTACTAATCTGCTTTTCAATTTTTTGTTTCATCCCCTATTCCCTCTTGCCTTGTTTTTTCTTTTTTTATCGTATATCCTGCACGTAGTGTGTATGGCGCAGTTATGCTGCTGATGAGAAATCAGTTTCCATTGCTACCTGGAAGCCTCATTTGAAGGCCTTGCATACCTGCAGCCCTACAAAGTAGGTACAAATATGGCAGCTGGTGCTGGTTTTGATGTGTGTTCAAGCTTATAGAGAAGTAGTATTTGTCTGTTTCGTCTTGGTTTGTTGTCTTTAGCCCTCTCAAGTCCTGTCATTAAAAATTTCAACTAACAAATCAGATCAATATAATGTAGGAGCCTAGGAACAAATACAAATCATTGCTATTTATCTTAGAAATGCACAGGCATTAGAAACATTTTCCCAACAACCCACTCATGCATCACAGTTAATGATTCACCTCATTCCAAATTATCCTCAAGGAGAAAAATATTAAGTTTAATGCAGAGCTTGTCCCTTGGTTCAATGGTATGTTTATGCCTGTGCCTCTGTATAAGGCTGTAGCTGCTGATCTACCTTTCCAAAGAAAGAGTGCCTTGTGCTATTTTGCAGGTGAATGCACTGGGGAATTTGCTCCTTTTTGTCATAACTTCTGATATATTCAGTATTTCCTTAGGACAAACTATATATGTAGTCATACATACAGACAGTAGAAGATGACTCAAAAGACCTGTTGCCACAGTTTGGTAGACAGGAAATATTTGATATCCTAGTTTGGGTGAGAATTCACAGAGCACTGGCAGCCCAAGACTTTTCAATAATTCAATAAAAGGTTTAGCAGAAGGCAGCAAGTTGATGATTCAATACGGGGCACAGATCAGGAAGTAAAAAACACTTGATAAAGATCAAAAAGGAGAGCTCTAAGAGCCTTATGGGAAAGCTCTGATAAGCATCTTAACTGTTGTTAATTGCAGACAGTGCAAGAGAATTAGTGGTTTCTCTCAAAGCTGGGTGATGAACATCCACATGACAGTAAAAAGGTAATTGTGTGCCAAAAAGCTCAGCCAAAAAGAAGTTTGGCTGGGTATCCAAAGCTGATCTTTGAATTTCAAAGAGTTGACAAGAACAGAGCCGTAAGTAATCCATTACCATAACTCTAATTCCAAGCTGCTCCACACTAAAAGAACCTTTTAGATTAAAAGTTACATGAAGTATTGATATTTTACATATACAAACAGACTGAAAGCAACATTAGTATAAATGGATGGATAGAAAATTACATAAATAATGAAGCTGTATCCCACATAAAATATTCTAAAATATGACTGTCCCTCAAAAGTGCATCTACTTCTTATTTTAAATAAGCATATTGCTGTGCTAAACTGGAACCTTTTTATTTACCAGAAATAACATATCTAATAAGAAACTACAGCTTTCTGTTATATATGTGTCAGCAATGCATTTTGCCTAAGTGCTTTGCCAACTCAGTCTGCAGTGGTATGTACTAAGCATGTTATGCATGTGTTAGAAAACCTGAAAAGTTTCTTTTCCAGAACCATTGTAATTATGAGTCTTGCTTGAATGTTTTTGTAGTTGCAATGTAATGTGTGTGTTGTGCACCAATTAACATATCCATTTATGTCTATCATACATATAACATCATCTCTAACTAATGTGATTACTATCTGCATAACAAGTATGTTTTTCCCTCCCACTCCCTGACCTGAAGAAAAGAACAAGGGGAATCTTCTAGCAGGTTTGTAGTTTCTTTTATTTCTTTTATCTGTGAAATTGCTGTTTCTTAATGGCTTTTAGATGTCTTGGGTTCTGTACAGTAGGTTCAATGAACTGCAACCATTGATGGATAATAATCACAAATTGGATCTTTTTAAACTCATATGCTGCTGAAATTTGCTTCTTTGTCCCAGTTTTTCTATGGAAAAAATAGGCAATTTTTTACACATCTAACATGCTGTAGCTTTGAGAAAAGCTCAGTTTGAACAATGACAGAGCAGCCAGTGGACCAGTCTCCCCAGATCCAGTCCCTGGACAAGGACATGTGCCCAGCTTCTGCTGCAAAATCAATGCAGGATTTGCAGAGGAAATTACAGACATATAGTTTAATTTGGCAATGTCAAGAAGCCCACCAACCCTCCATTGCAGGGAGAACCCTTTGATGGATCTGGTTGGATGCCACCTTCGCTCTGCAGGAGCATTCTCAAGGCTTCCTCAGTGCCATGTCTCCACATTTTCTAACTTTTCTGTCATCCCCTCCTAAGGAGCATTTTGGAACATAGGAGGCTGGGGGAAAGCAGCACTGCAGTGTCTCACCTCCTCCTGGCTGCATGGCTTGCACTCCCCCATGGCTCAGTTCAAGCAGAGGAGCCAGGCTGGTACCTCTGCTGAAGAAAGCCCCACTGCTGTCAGCCAGGAGCCCAGATGGGCTCCCACCCAGCCCAGATCCCAGCTGAGCTCTGACTGCCTACAGCTGGCAGCAGCGAGCCTTGGCAGGGCCATCCTCACTGGGTAAATAAAGCTCTGGAGAGGCATGTCCTAAGGCAGTGGGAGAAAATGCTGGTCTTTGCTGCACTGATAGCCCAAATCCTTAGGGACAGGAAAGGCTTCAGTGGCTAGAAATGACTCTACCTCAGAAACTCATTAGGCATGGGAATCAGCCGGCATTTGGCAGCTGGCACTGTGGTATCAGCATGCTCAGAGAATAGCAGAATTTACCTCCCAGCAGAAAACACTGAAAAGCCAAGGAAAAAAGTGTTGATGACATATCAGCCCCTGAAATACATCCAGCCCCGAGTTGTACTGTGGTTCACAAGTTCTTCTGGGTTATTCAGTCTTCACATCAATTACCCATGTCCCATTCCACTTCCCAGAGTGCTCCTCTGGCACCTGACTCTGACCTTTTCCTCCAAGCACATGTAACTGCTGTTAGTGTCACTGTGACTCAAGGGGACAGGATTTGCTCTGTCAGTTCTGGGACTTTTTGTATACATTACCTCCACAGGCTTGCTAGCAACACATTGACCTCATTAAATTATTACAGTCTGATCCAAACTTCTTGCACTCACCAGCTGTATTTCATAGTCTTTTTGACAGCAGCATTTAAAATTGACTTTTTTAAAGGTGAGACAGAAGTTGCCAGTAAATGAGTATATCCCTCTAAAACTGGGATTTGTGCAGAGGGGAGAGGTTATTCCCAGTTGTACCAGCAAGCACTAAAAGAGACAAATTTACTTACAATAACTGGAAACTAGATGAAAAAAAACCCCAAACATCCAGCTGTCAAAACCATGCTGTGCTCTCCCTATTGATGATAACAATTGTGGCTTCAAAATGAGTCAACAATTTAGCCAGCTTTATTCACTTTATTTTCACTGAATGGAAGATGTTTACTCCTTCAGAAACACTTAATTAATATATGCACTGCTGCAAATTAGGATAAATGTAAAAATGAACTTGTTACTTCTAAGATCATGTTCTACTGTAAGAACCCTACAGACTCCTCAGTGCCTTTTAAAAAAGGTGTGTTTTTTCAGTGGCTGGTTATTGCTCTTATGCTGATATATCACTGTATGTTTGTATCACTGAAAATACAAGTGGTGTATGTGATCTTTTGTGGCAAAGATGTAAATGCAAACTGCTGTAATGTACTTTGAGATACCTGTCCTTGACTATTTAACTTGTTTCTTACTGCAATGCTAAGTGACTTGCATGGGATGCTATGCGAACAAAGTACGATTCCTCTTGTTTCACTCTTAAATGAAAAAGTGTTTGCACAAGCAGTACATTGGATTGAATTCTGAACATGCTCTTTGCTCTATATTCCCTTCTAAGAACAGTGAAGAAAATCTTGTATTCAGGAAAAGTTAACTATCTTCTTTCCTACCAAATTGACTTATATTTACAGAAATTAATTCTTGTATTTTGTCATGGATAAACCTGCAGTCTTTCATTAGGTGATGAAATGTTGCTATGCATTTGAGTTGAGAGAGTTGTGTTTATGAGGCTGCAACTTCAGATTGATTTTATATGTTGTATTTCCCAAAATTTTACGCACAAGTATTCTAATTAATAATTTATCAAAATATTGGTAGACAACCTCTCTGGTGTATCCAGGCTATAAATGAGATATTTCTATAAATCAGCTCCAGAGCTGTGCATGTTATTTTAAAAGACTAGATCTTAAATTCTTAATATCTGCAAATGCACACACTGAAAACAATCAAACATTTATCTCTGTTCAGTTATACAAATGGCTGAAATAGTTCCTGTGCAGGAAACTAGATCAAGACTGATGAATCTTGTCACATACAGAGAGCATAATCAGTCTTAAACTGTGTGTAGGACATGCACTGGGTGTCTGCAAAGGATGAATGTCACCCATCTAGTCTTGTAACTCATGAGGCTGAATATGCATTCCCTATTCAGACAATTCTCTCTGGTGCAATGAGAAGCAGTTTTGCCAGTATAAGATCTTCAGGGGAAAACTCAGCCCTGTTCTGAGGGAAACAAGTAAATTATGTTATGGAATTCTTTCACCTCCTATACCATATCTGTTTCTAAAAGTAGATTTAATGTAAACAACTCTGCATGCACCATATAAAACAGAAATTGCCAATGATGCATAATCTAGCTTGAGGTGGAAAACCTAACCCCTCACCCAGCACTGGAATGCTTAGTAACAGAGTCCTCTATCTCCCCTCACTCCTAGTAAGCTTTGTAGTAATAAACAGAAGCTCTTCAGGATGTACACCCCTCGGAAACATAGGTATTCAGCATCCTGCCTATTCACATGATGTTTGAGAATGCCAACTAACATCAGGTGCATGATCCATTCACTTCCCCTCCTCAGTGCTTTAAAGTTCCTTACTTCTCCAAATGTTTCCTATTTATTTTAAGTGCCTGTAAGTCCCTTTTTGCTTGTTGCCTGCAATGCCATTAACACAATGGCAGCAACACCAGTTGTTTCAAACTCATCCAGCCAGACAATTGCAGTGGCAGCACATCGCGGTTTTACAAAGCCCCATTCCCCTTCTCTGCTTGACACTTCAACTTTTGGAATGCATTACCCTGGGGAGATCTAAAACTGGGTTTGAATATTTGGGTAAAGCCATTTCCCCAAGTTCAAGAGGATTTTTATGACCATGGTAGTTGATTTCTCCACCTAATTATTAGTGGAGAATATTAAGCTATAGCATGCTAGGCAATTACAACAGCCAAAATGTGCAACTGAGAAGAATCCCCTTGGACACAGATTCTGGATAATGTGCCTGCATCCTGTACTGGAAGGTAGAGGAGTGCATGTGAAATCAAGCATCTGCTTCAGCTGAATTCTCTAGAAATTGTGTCTGTTACCAAAAATGGTAATTCCTAGATAGATGAATCTTACGGGAAGAAGCCTATGATTCATATCTCAAGCTGATTGCATTTTTTCTTACTTATTAAAAATAATGTAAAAGACAGTGGAAGTACAAACTGATTACAGAAAATTAGGATCAAAATAGTTTCTCTTCATTTAGAAATTGTTTTGAAAAGGAAAAAATGCACAAACACCCTGAATATTTACTTTTTCTGATTGACAATTGAAATATAATATATTGTGGGCTGAAATTCTTGCTTTACTTATTGAAGGTATGAGATACAACAATAAATTTCTTGAGTTTGTGGTCCTAGCATGAGACTGGTGGTGAAGTCTTAGAACTTTAGATCTCACAGTATTATCCATTGCATTTGCATTTGTTCAACTTAGCTTAATTTCAGTAAAAGTATTTGTAGGCTCAGTAAGAGCCAATACCTGTATTTATAGGTAGCTAACTACTGAAAATTGGCACGGGCACCTGTTTGCTGTTGTTTGCCGTAGGTGATAATTTCTGGCAGTTTTATCTTCTGTCTCAAGACTCAAGTCCTTCCTCCTCACCCTCAGGCCCTCCAGTTATTTCTGATTCATTTCAATTTCTTCCTATTCTTGCTTCCACCAACTGGGTCAGTATGAAAAGCTGAAAAACAAGGTGAAATTATGGCTAGTAGCAAGCAGTAGTGCTGCTGCTCTGAGACTGAGGCAGAGCAGAAGTTTTAACTTGACCAGAAGTCTAGGAAGGTGGCAGGCAAATGGGGGAGTGGGACTGGGAAGGAAAGAGATGCTCAGTTAATAAAGTATAGGGAGATGGTCCATGGAAGACAGAGCAAGCAAAGGTTTGCATGCGCTTCTCCAGAGTAGTCATTTGGACCGGGAGAAAATGATCGTTCCCTCTGAGTGAAGCTACAGTGACCTCTAGTGTCCCTTCACACCCATTCCTTCGTAGATCAAAGGTGGCAAAGGCAGGATTTGAAAACGAAGAAATAAAAATTAGAAAGTCATTTGCTATCCTAGGGAAGTGAGCCCCTTGGGCATGAAATGGGAGGAATAAGTCATAAGATCCTACAACTGACCTTTCAGAAGGCAGAAAAATACAGAAAGGTCATTTGCTTCCTTTTCTATAGCTGCCAGTTGTAATTGATCTCCACTAAAAGATGCTTCAAAGCTCGAGTGTTATCGATAAGGATACATTCCACAACTTTCAGCCTGCAAGAATAGAGGAGTGATAGGTCCAAAGGAATTACCATTGCCAGGAAAGTCTGTCATGAAAGAAAAATGTATGTCAACCAATTGAGCTAAATTATAAGTCATATGAAGTACAAGAAATGATGGACAGACACACATCTAAAGGAATGCAGAGATAACAGGAGACAGCTGTGGATCTCTCAGATCATTGTAATATAGTTTTGATTTAGGAACTTGTGCTATTTTATTTTCCTGTTTCTTTCTCATAGTTTTTGCCTTTTGGACAAACACACAGAGTTTGTGAATACTTATGGGGATGGGTGAATATCCAATGGTAATTAACAGGTTTACATTGACTCAAGGGATTTCCTTTGGATACCATGTAAAAAGAGAAGAGAAAAGGTGAAAGATAAAAATATAATAGGCCAGGACCTGAAAGATTTGAAGGATTTTTAGCACACACAGGCCAGTACTGATACAACCAGCATTAAATCAGAATAAAGGGCTCTAAAGGAGTCACTGGCTATTGATTCAAATGCAGAATGTCCAAAGATGCTTGAATGGTGTGTTATCTTCACTCTGCAATTTTAACACCATCTCTACTGCTGTTGCAACAAAGAATCCAGAGCCAGGAGCTAGGCATTATCATAAGGAAAGGGACTTTTGCTCTGGAGAAAAGCGTGGTCAGGGAATGCTCAAAGTGCTCTGATTCAATTACTCCTTCATGATCTGTTATTTCTCATACATAGAAGAGCCCCAAGACAGTGTGTTCCCAAGCACAAGCTTTCTTCTCTCAACCTTTCTTCTCCACTGTCAGTCACACAATTTATGCCTGTGCTGAGAGGGACCCAGTGACTTCAGGAGCATCTCCCACCAGTCTCAAAATAGGAGCAGGGATCCAAGAAGCAAAGAACTGCTCTAGCTAGTCACTTTGGGTATGCATCTCAAGATGCAGAAGAGAGTTTTCAAACCCTCCCTCCTTCAGGGGCTGTGTTTCTCTTCACAATGCAGTACTCTCTGCATGGACCCTTGGCGTGCCAGTACATGGTCATTGCTACAAAGCAGACTTGATTTGAGTTTTCAACTAAAAGCTCTGCAGTTTACATTAATATTGTAATTCTCAGCATTGCACTTTTGAAAAATGTCTCTAGTAGAGATAAAATGCCTACTGTTCCTTTCACCATTGCCTTGCTGCTTTGATTTGGAGAACTAAAGATATTCAGGTTAAGTAGTCATTCTGTACCATTCAGCTTTTATAAATTAAATAATCACGTCTACCGATCATTTAAAGGCAACAACTGCTTTCATTAGTACAAATTAATTGACAGAACAGTACATGTTCTGTTTTGACGTTGGTTTTAAATTTTCATTTTTATTTTGGAGTTGATGTGATAATTTAAAAATATTACCTATATAGATAGGTTTTATGGCTATTTTACCCATTTTCCTTTCATTTTTATTTGTGCAGCAGGATGAGAGCTGTCCAGAAACTTTTTAACTCTGATGTTTGGGGGAAAAAAAGCATCAATTGACTTCATTTTTCAATAGCAAGTACAATTTGAGCCATAAGGGGAGTTAAAAAAAGGGGGACACTTGTAGGAATAATATCTATAAGAAGAAGTCAGTTTTGATTCTCTTCCTCATTCTGTATAACATGACAATGCAATAATGTGGTTAATAAATATTGTACATATTTTTATACATATTTTCACTGCTGTGAAATGCAAAAGATTCCTGAGCTGAAATATAATTCAGTCTTGAAATGTAATTTGTATTCAAAGCTAAATTCTGGAACACTTTTCTTTCAACCATTAGGTTCTGTGGATCTTTTGTATTCCTTATGCCACAGCATTGGGTAGCAATTTACAATGGAAATAGATAACATTTTCGTCCCTGTGATGTATTTATTTCAACAATTGCTTATTTGGGCAAGAAAAGAAGGGGATTACATTGAGAAATTATAGTAAAGGTATTATTCTTCCAAGTAATCAGACATGCCATATAGAAATACATTTATAATACATTTATCTAATAATCTTTCTATTGATGTGCTCAGTTTTTAGTATTCTTGAAAATTATCACATTACAAGCATCCCAGCATGTGTTTTGCCTGCAAAAAACTGCATCCTTTCTGCTCTCAGGAATGTTTGTACTCAGACTGAAATGCTATGCTTTGCTATGCATGGACAAAGATACGTTTATCTCAACATTTCACAGCCACATAGGTTTATAACTTCTTTCCATTTCATATAATTACATGTTAACACTGTATTTTCAGAATGCAGTAGGTTAAGCATCTAAGAACCACATAGTCCATATTAGCATTAGTTAATTATCTCAGGATCTGTTCCTGTTCAAAACATCTTATGGGCATGCTGAAATTAAGTGCCAAGACCTTGAGAGTACTAGAAAGTGTCTTAGCTTCAAGAACCTCCATAATTTTCAGGTAGACAGTCATTGGTAAAGGTGTTTTAAAAGTCCCCCTGCAAAGCCTACGCCAGGGCAGTAGGACTGCAAGTCCCAGTAACACCATACCATGAACAGACACTGCATTGCCCTCATCATCTCTCCCCTTGAAAGAACAGGGCCACTGATCAAGGTGACCATTCCCTTGCTCAACCAATTGAATTTAACCTTGCATATAAAACAAGGTTTCCAGACCTTGGTATCAGACTCCTTCTCTGTTTGCTCTTTGTGTCTTCTGCTACAGGAAGGGACAAAGAAAGGCAAAAATGTTAAATAATTAAAAAGCATAGGTAGATAGTCACAGTGACCACAGGATGTTCATCAGATATGTTTGGGCAAAGGTAATTTAAGCTCCAGGGAATAGAAAATCTACAAAACCCGCATTTAGCTGGCTGGGGGAGAGGATTACAAGCACAGCAGGAGAAAAAAAAACCCTTAAAATTGGTCAACCATAAGACCACAGGGTCACCATTGATGCAGCAGACACAGTCATGAGCTTGGCTGGGCTCTGTTACCTGTCCAGTACCACCTGCACACGGTCAGCTCCCAGCTAAATCTTCAGCAATGACTTTAGGGACCACACAGCGTATCATTACATTTCCATTAATCAGCCATCATGCTTTTTCTTGGATATTTTATTAATTTTGGTTTTGTCTTGTCCAAGTAAGTGCTCTAACAAGGAATTCTGGATATGAGTGATCACTAATCATGCATATGAAATGTTTGAAGTGCCACGTCCTGCAAAAGCATGAGTATATGCTAACAGTATTCTTTGCCTGCTTAAAAAAACCTCAAACCAGACAATACTACATGGCATGCAGTAACAATAAAATACAGTTTGGTTTTGTTGATCTGAAGATACAGCCAGAAATGCACTGAAATTGGCTGACTAAGATGGAAACAAACCTTCAAGTTCAAGGAATAGAAAAAACATCATAGAGATTAATGTATAATAATTGGGTGAAATTGTTTCTATTTGTTATTTTTAATTTCCTTTAGAAGGTTATTCTGTACTGTATGATAGACTGGCAATGCTAATGCTTCTATCAAAAAATATCAAATCAGTTCCATTCACAAATTAAATATATTCAATGAAAATAAAAGTGTTTAAGAAACAGAATCATACCAGTGACATTTTTTACACAATTTTTTCAATAATCATACAATAGAAAAAAGGAGTGAAGTAACTATGAAATAAAATATATTTCTCTCTCTCACAGTCAAAAGCTAAGTTTCAAGGAGCGGGTCCGGATGGCCAGCCCACGAGGTCAAAGCATAAAAAACAGGCAATCTTCAGTGGGAGATCGCCGCTCACCAAGTGCTGACATTGCCACCGAGGGCAGCCCAACCAAAGTGCAGAAGAGCTGGAGCTTCAATGACCGAACCCGCTTCAGGCCCTCGCTGCGGCTCAAGAGCTCCCAGCCCAAACCCATGGTTGATGGTAGGAGTTGTTCACCCCTTGTTTGCCACTGCACGCTGCTCCCAGCTGCTCACACTCTTGCACGCTTGCACAGTGATTGTACACATTTCAGGAAGGCAGAAAGAATTGCTGTTTGGGGCCAGAGACACAAGCCAGCTGTAGTCTGCTTCAAAGACCCCGATAATGTGATTATTTTTTTAATAAGAAATCATGTCAGTGGTGCATAGGGGGCAACTGGTGGAAAAGGGGTCACTGTGAAAAGTCACAGTGGACTAAAGGCATCCCAGGGAATTGGCTACAGCAGCTCATGTGTCATGGCCACCCTCCTACTACTGAGCTCAGCTGCTGCCCAAACCTGCTGCCTCTTGCTGGTGTCCACACAGCACAGCCAGCATTGTCTGTGCCTTTGCCAACCAGGAGCACAGCTTGTGCAGAAGTGGCTCCCTCAGGCAGAGGAGTCCCAGTGCCTGCACTGATGATGGAATCACCTGCCTCCAAGGGATACACTACTGGGTGCTTTCAGTTTTACAGGGTTATATCTGCCTTGATAAGGCAGTAGATTTTGCAAACAAAACAAGTGTTATTGGTTTTATGTATTGATTTCTATAGGGTATTTTGGAGGTAAGAAGCACTCCTAAAAATGTCTTGTTGAACCTGTAGCAGGCAGCCCAGCCTTTCCCTCAAGCTGCCTCCTATGCTGCTCTGTTCTCTAGCTTAAGTCCAATTTGGCATTAAACTAACCAGTACTCGGGCAAGGATCTTCATCTGATGAAGCCTGCTAAAACAAAGGCAGTGACTTCTCTAACCAAGGAGCACCAAACTGGGTGACAGCAGCTCCCTGACAGGCAGGAGCTGAGAGAAGTGAAACTGACCCTGTGTGGGACGGGTCCAGCACTGAAAGGTGCACTCACATAGCTCTGGGGGTACTGCTGCCCCAGCTGATTTTGTTTTGGCTTTCGCCATTCCCATATTTCCCAGTCTATGAATGTTTTGTTCTTTCTTGTGGTACCCATCATGTAAAAACAAGGGAAACAAACTGGTTGACTGCCACAGAATGCAGTGACTCTGCCTGAATGGGAAAGATACAACCTCTTTCTACAGTGGCATCATGCATGCTACATCCAACAATTGTGGTAAGACTAATTAGACAGAAGTTCAATGTTGATGTTGCTTCCTTTTTAAGAGCACATATTATCACAAACGTGTAAGTTGCAAAAACTCATTAAACTGCAATGCCCCATGCCTCAGTGAGGATCTTCTACACAACAGATCTCTCCAGGAAAAGCCTGTGTAAATAAACATTTCCTGGAGGGCAACCAAGACAAACCAATGGTATTTGCTAAGATCATCATTCCAGGCTAGACCTCCCTTACAAATATGTCTCAGATTTTCTGAAATTCTGAATCTGCCTGAGGTACAGTGAGCTGCTGGGGTGTATCAGGATATTATCCAGGTTGCTCAACTCCACTATCCACTGCTATCCACTCTTGTCTCCATCCTGGTTTACAGACCCTGGCTTATGTCCCCTGGCAGCTGTATCACAGGGCTATGTGACTTAGCCTGGGTCTCACGCTGATGTGAAGCTCAGCCAAGGCCACAATGGGAACTGAGAAGTGCTCTAGGTGGCATAGTGGTTGAAGCTACCCTGTCTAAATTTAGGCATCCTACATAATCACTTATAAAGCACAAGTATCATCCCCAAACTGCATCAGAAGTAATTTCATAGGTTAAACTCCTGTAATTCACACTGTGCCTGCAAGTGACCTAAGGAGAAAGTAATTTTCTGAGCATTCTCTCAGAGTATCAGTGGCTCACTTTTGCCCCGGTCTGCACCTCACTGAAGCACCTGTTTCATTTTTCATCAGCCCATTTATCATAGAAGCATTTCCTCAGCATATCCCCTATTTTGTCCTGTACATATTGCCATCAATAGCAACTATGTGCACAAGCAGATCATGCTACTTCTGACTGTTTCCCTCTCACGGAAAAGGTGGCATAAACAGCACCTTGGGTATGTGTATCTCTTATCTGTAGATAAAAGACAGAAACAACAACAGAGCACTCATTGCTGTGCGTAAGCCCTTGAAGATCTTCCCGCTCCTCAGGGTGAGCACAGCCTGTTTCCTGGTCAGTGATTTCCAGCTACTAGTCCACCCTTATGAACTGGGGCCAACAGATACAACCCATTTCTCATCTCTGGCAGAAGGAACAGCTTCCATTGTCTCCAGCTTTTAGGCAAATGCCAAGTTTCCATTCTGGGACCTCGTCCAACTACGTCTAGGACCAGTATGATTAGAGAGATGTCCAGTGTGCTCACTTGCTGAGAGACACCTCCCTTCTGCCTTACCCAAACTTTTGCAGGAAAAGTCAGGCACTACTAACCTTCATTTCCTTTTCTTTCTTTTCTTTCATAGCTTGATACTTTCAGCATTTGACAGCTCAGTGAAAAAGATCTCAAGATGATGTATTTAATTTAGAACATCTTGCATTTTTCACTGGATTAAAAAACCATTATTTGCAGCATATTATTCTTATCTCTTGCTTGCCAGGTCCTCCAGTTTCCTCCTTGAGGTATTCCCCAGCCAAATAATTAATAACTTTGGCAGGCCAATCATCAAGCCAAAACTAGAAGCCAAATTTTTCTGGGTGAAATCTTGGGCACAAAACAGTACACTTGAACAGCTGGTCCTTCTGGTGAGTCCTCCATCTCTGTAGGGTGTTTGGTGGGAGAAGAAATTACACTACAATATACCTTTAGGGCAGTGACAACATAGTGCTGGATACCCAGTTCAGTGTCAGAACTTCATATCAGTGAAAAAAATAGAGTCTTACTATGAACTTCCTCTTTCAAAAGAGAAAAGAAAGAAGACATTTCACTGTATGGGATGTAGAGTTGTAAATGCTCTGCCTAGACAGAGGACTGAATTCTGTGTGAAAATAAAAGAAAAATGCAAATCTATAAGGAGAGGCTTCCAAAAGGAAGGGCAATTGTTACAATATGAGGATGATTTAAGGCAGATCAATGGTCGACGCAGAGAATTTGCAGTGCTGACTGAGTTTTGGTAAGGACATGGCTGAAATGTGGGCCAAAACCATCAGAAAGAGACTGCTAGAGAAACTCAACATTAGCAATTAGAAACTGGCTTGCAAAGGGAGGTTTCGAGTCCAGATAGGAGCTCATGGGGGTAGCTAAAAGGCTAACCTGATTGAAAATGTAATAGCTTGCCTCTTAGGCTACCCAGCAACAAACACTCTAGCACTCCCCCACTGCATATTAAATTCATAGAAGGAGAATTTCATGGCAGCAAGTAAAACACTTAAGCCAGCCACTGGTATATCCCAAAAGGATTCTGGCATAGCAGCCTTAGAACAGTATGACCAACACCATTGCCCAAATGGCTTTATTTACAGTTAGTAACAATCTTCTGAAACTGCCATAAACCATTTATTGCCATTGACAAAGTGGGTCTGACAACAGCAGTAACTATTTCAATTACATGTGTGCATCTGCAAATGGAATCCAAACCTGAGGGCGGTTTGATGGTTAGATAAGTTTTTGGTGGCCTGACTTTTCTAGGTCATTCAACAACAGTACAGGGGAAAGTGAATATCAAGACTTACATAATCGGATTTTAAATACATGTGCAGTCTCTGGTGACATGTGGTACATAACTTCCAGAAATCTTGTTGAAGAGGGGACTCTGCACAAATTAACAAAGATGCCAGAATGCTGGCATCTTTGTTTTCAGCCTAAAAGGGAATTATCAGGCTGAGGTAGATGAAAGGGAAATTTTCACCAATCAAGAATGGTAAATAGCAAAGCTTTACAAAGCACACACTTAAAAAGGATTGTATAGGGTCATGGAAGAGCCTTTCCCAAAGGGATGCTATGTCTCACAGGCAAAGGTGCTGCCTGACCTTGGAGCCCCTCACAGCCCCCTGTGCACCTGTACAGTGAGCCTGGAGATACCACTAGCCCCAAGGCTTCCTCATGCAGTATGGCTTTGGTTCTTCCCTGTTTTGCCAACAAAAACAGGGAAGCTGCAGCCAAACTCTCTGTGGGGAGTGGTGCCCAGAAGATGAGAATACCCACCAGCAGGGTCAGCCCTATGACAGAGTCTGTGCTAGTTACTAAATAGCACAGGTGATCACTTGCTTAAGGCACTGTGCCCATGCCTCCTTGTATGTTGTGTATCCATCCACAGACACTCAACCACACAAAATCTCTTCTTTGCAATGGTGTTCCTGTCCTGTTTTGTTTCCTGCTTGCCTTACTTTCTGAGGAACAGAACATTTTCTGCTTAAATCATGCGCCAGTCTTGTACCACCACAGCTGAATTAATGGACCAATATTATGTTGTGGATGCAGTTTTCTGTGAGGGACAAAAATACCCTATTATATTTGTTTTCTACCATCCCATGCTTCTAAGCCCCTGAATGAATTATTGTGCCTTTACTGTAACCTAGAGACATTGTGTGGCTTTTTGAATAAAACATCAAAAGCATTCAGCACTGGAGATATTACAAACATATTTCATTTGATTAATTAAAAAGAACTCTCTAAGGAAATATTTGATTTCTTGCACCATCCTCAAACATTATACACTCACATGACCTCTAGCCTTTCATTCCCTACAGAGTACTTGCACAAAATCCTGAGGGTAGAGTATATTACAAGAGCCATGGAAAGAATGCAATTGTGCATTTCAGCCCCCACGTCCTCAGTTACTACCATATAATTTATGTATTGCAAAAATGACAAGTTTTCCTTTCAGTAGCATAAACAGCTTGACCTTGGATAAGGTTCACTTGATGTGGCAGAAGTCCTTAGTTGGGTTGCTTCCACATCTAGGCTTAAATTTGCTGGTTCAAAGTGAAGCTGCATGTTGTCAAAGTTTGAATGAAATTTATTAGCAATATATCAATCTGTGCTAGACAAAAGATTTATTTTCTTGTTATTGCCTTCCATAGAGCAGATAGAGTTCTTATTTATTACCACTGTCACTGTAATTAACTAGGAA